AATCTCCTATGTCTATGCTCTCTCTCTCCCTTCTCTTTCCTAGTTTCCATCCTTTTATCCCTTACCCTCTTTCGCAAATTATATTTTTATATTTTTTTTACCTTTATTAATTTTACCATATAAAAAAATTTATTATTTACTATAAACTTTTGATAACATATTATATCAGCAACTATTGAAATAAAGAGAGAATTTACCATTAAAAAAAAAGAATAGAAATAAAACTATACAAAAGAATATATAATATATTTTTTCCCGTAAATTATATTTCTACAATTTTTCACCTTTATTTATTTTACCTTTTTAAAAAATTAATTATTTGCTAATATATTTTGACATCATATCATATCAGTAAATATTCAAATAAAGTATCCCATGACCGGAAAAAGATCTTTTTATAAAAAAAATTCATATATATAATTATACAAAAATAATATATTATATAAGATAACGTCTTTTTGTAACAATTTTTTTTTATTTTTAGCTACAATTAATTTTCAAAATTTTGATTAGATGAAGAGCGCTTAGTGCTCAACACAGCTTTCGCCGTGCTAAACATACGTTCAATTGGCGCAGAGGATGGGAGAGTTGTATTATATTTAATAAATAAAAATTTTAATTCGGGGAATTTATTAAAAATATTTAAAGAATTATCTTTATTTTGAAAGAAGCTTAATTGATCATCTTCACAAGGATCTTCATTCATTTCCTCATCAATCTATCTTTATCAAAAAATATTCTGGTATGTATGTTGGATAAAGGAATTACGTCTGCTCTTCTTTATAAAAATCTTTTCTCAAACTGGAAATAAGTTCTAGCATTCTTCCTTTGTTGACCTCTAATTTGATCAAGGGCCAATCCAATTTAAATAGCGGGTGAATTATTGCTGATGGTATATATTCAACTTTATAGATGTGTTTAAGTCTATTGAAAATAAAAGATAATCAAAATATAAATTGTACTGTACTAAGCCTTTCAGGATTGAATTTATAAGCGGCTACAAAACTTGAAATGATTTAAGGCCATTTTTTAAGCTTTAATATTATAATAGTTTTCGTGGGAGTGAGATATCCCAAATACATTTTTTCTTCGCTCTCTAAAATTGAAAGAGCCGTAGCAATCGGTTCCATAACTTATAAAATCATATATTACATATCATATTTCTTAATTAACAGCCATACAATATTCACCGAATGACTTGTCGTTATCTGAAAATCTCTGTGATTCAAATTTATCACAAGATTCGTCTTTTTGGCAATGACTATCTATTAATTTTACGTAATTATAAAACGAGTTCCATCTTGTTATAACCGGTTTAATCAGATATCTTCCCATGTTTTCCTTAAAAATGGCTATTGCCCATGTTTACCACAATAGCTTACACTTAGATAATGTAATTTTTGAAATGGTTTTTAAATGGATATCGTTACCTGTTTTTTCAATGCACTTGCAATTAGATTTAAAGTGTGTGCTGAACAGTGCTTAGGTAAGTATACAATACTATCATTAGTATTTTGATTTTCAAATAGATCAAATAATGGCAGAGAAACCATTTCATCATCCAATTCCACTCCTTGTTCATATACTATAATAAATTTATAATAAATATATTATAATTTTTTTACTTGAAAGCTTTTATATAATTTCTAACATTGTCGGTAATAAATTTTATCACTTTATATCTCATGTGTTGTAAAAATTGTAAAGATTATTTTTGCTAGATAATAAAATCTGTGTTTTTGGGTTAGTTTAGCCTTTTACAACCTAAACAGGCTGAAATCCTCTCAAGAGTGTCTAAAAGAACTTTTTTAAAAGACAATATTATTTATCTATAAAATATATATTTTATATGCCGATGATAAGCTGACCAAGAATCCACAGTTGTATAGACAATTTTTGACACAATAAATCCACTAATTTCTTTGCCATGGTATCTGCCTTTTTAATTTTAAATATAGGGGTAGGCCTAGACACCACATTTTTAGTTGGCTGCAAGTTTTTGATAATATTAAATAAATGCAGTGTTTTCTACAATTGAAAATGATTATAATTCTTCAATTACAAAATTAATTCATCAACAGCTGATTGCGCTATTTTTGTCTTTGATGTATATAGATTCTGCATCTTATAATTTATTAATTAAAATATTATTAATTACTGAATTTTTTATCAAAAATAACTTCGCTTTTTCAATAATTGAAAATAAATATTTTAAAAATTTAATTGTATTTTTTTAATCCCTCACTAAGAATATTGTCAAGGAAAACATTAAAAATTGAAATTATGATTGTCAAAGATAATTTTTTAATTTCTTATCTTTTCAGAATTATCCTTTAAAAAGGAATCAGAAAAAATATCTATGTTCAGTTCTCTAAAACAATATTGCTTCATAGTTTTATTCCATATATATATTTGTTTAAAAATACATATCTATTTAAACAACTTTTAAAATCACTATTTTATTCTTTAAATTTATTAACAATTAGAAGTTAAACCAATTTCAATACTAAAACAGGAAATAGAAGATATTTTAAACCCAATATAATATTTGTTAATATTGGGGTTTTAATGTAAGTTCCCAGCCCTATACTATAGTATATTTTATTGCTTATATTTTAATTTCATGATTAAGCTTCTCAAAATATTATGAAAGAATACTTCTTTTAATGGTTATTTTATAATACCCATGATTTAATATTCTATTATTAAAGTAATGTGTAAAATAATTATATATTAATTCAAACTGCTGGACATTGAGGTTGAAATATTTGCATTGTAACATAATTTAAATTTACAAAGTGAAGACTTTGTACCATAAATTTTCTCTATTGGTGTAAAATATGTTTCAAATTGGGGCCATGGAAGGGTTAAATCATCTTTATCTGAAGAAGTAAGTACTATTGATATAATATTCTTAAAATAAATTATAAAATATAATAATAATATTATTATTAACATTACTTTGAATTTTGATTGAATATTAATTAGATTAACATTAACTGAAAATTTAACAACGAGTATTTAAAATAAAAATGAAGGAATGGTGGTTGATATGAATTAAAAAACTTACAATAAAATATGTTTTTCTTTTTTTAATATTTTTTAAAAAATAATTTAAAACGTTTTGCGTTACCGTTACTCAAAAAAAAGAAACGCGTTACCGTTATTCGTTACCTCTAGAAGAAGGTAACGAATTGCGTTCCTTTTCTTCAAGTTACTTTACAGCACTAGTTATTTATATTTTCATATCGAAAATCTACATATAAATATAATTAATTTTAAAAATAAATATATAATGGAGGGAAGACTGTATTTACTAGGCCTATTCAAAAATAATTCGAATTACGAATACGAATAATAAATTATTTGTTTTATCTGAATACGAATAATCATTTATTCGATTCGAATAAAACGAATTATTCGAATAAAACGAATTATTCGTAATATTTAATAAATTGTTTAATAAATCTAACATTTGTCATTTCTATTTGTTGACCTGCCAATCTGACAGGTGATGTGTTTGTGTTTATAAAGATTCTAGCACAAATTTAAAAATTTCTGAAGTGAAAATTTAAATTTTTATTTGCCATTTTTGAATCTCACGAAAAGTTTATTTTTTGAATCTCATAATAAATTATATTAAAAATTAAACAAACTAGAGGTATATAAAAATATATTACATCTCTAACAATAATTATTGTTAGCTAACCTAATTATTTTAAAGGAGAATGCTTCTGATGAAATTATGCTTGATGTTGTATACCTTTTAAAATTATAAATTCAAATGATTTTAAAAATTTTATAAGTGATCTTGATTGTTCTGTAAAATCATTATGCTCCAATACTTTTAAATTGCACATGTATAATATATTTGCAGATAAAGAACAGCTGGTAAAGGAAAAATATATAAAAATAAAAGTCAGTTTAATTTTTCATCTGACATTTGGACTAACAACACAGGTTCCTTTTTTAAGGCTAACAGCCCATTTTATTGATGGTAATTTTAAAATAAATAACATAATTTTGGATGTCAGTCCAATAAATGAAACACATTCAGGTCAAAATATATTTAAAGCCTTTGTTAAAATAATAAAATTTATAATTTAGAGAATAAAAATTTTTATATAACTTTTAGATAATGCAACTAATAATAAGACATTTATTGATACATTTTCTTTAAAATATCCATTAATAAAAATAGGGCACATCCGATGCTTTGCCCATGTAATTAATTTAATATCCAAAGAAATTTAAAAATTTTTAGATCCTTCAATTCTAAAACTAAGAAACATTATTAGAATGATTCGTATGTGGTGGAATGCAAATGCATATCGGATCCCCATGCTCTCGAAAATGGCAAGGGATTATCTATCTATACAAGGAACATCAACTGCTTGTGAAAGGCTTTTCTCAGTTGGAACTAATTTATTGTCAAAAAACCGCATGTCATATAAGGAAGAAAATAAAAGAAAAACTCTTTGCCTTAAAAATTGGCTTAAATTATAAAATAAATTAATAATATACATTTTAATTTTGTTTATAATTTGATTATATATTATTTATTATCAGATTATTGATTACATATTATAATTTTTTCTGTTTAAAATCAAATTTGTAATAAAAAAATTTGTCAATATATTTGAGTATGATTTATTTTATTAAAAAAATTAATTCGAATACAAATAGTAGATTTTATTATTCGTACGAATTAATGCACTATTCGATTCGAATTCGTTTTTGAATAGGCCTAGTATTTACTAACAAATCAATTAAAATACTGGGAATATTTTTACTGGTAAATCTATTAACATACTGTAGAAAATTTTATACTGAACCCTAAGATATTATTATTTATACTGGTTAAATTAATATACTGACAATTTTGCTAGTATATTGAGAAAGTATTTTAAAAAATACTGGTAATTTCTAATAAAATAATGGAAAAACAAATATTCAGTTTTTATAAAGTAACTTGTAAGAAAAATTATATATTAAAATAGAAAAAAAGGGACGAAGGAAAGTTTATCGAATTACCAAACGCTATTATGGGGAAAGTTGTTACAAGATTCCCGCCTGAGGCTAGCGGGTATGTCTTTATAGCATTTAAATAATATATTTTTTTCAGATCAATAAAATAACTTTTATTAAAGATGAAATAATTTCATGATCTTCAAAGTTCGGGTCTTATAGATCTTTGGATGTCAGCCCGAAACCTAGTCATGTAAATTTTAAAAAATCGGGCCTAACTTGGGTTTAAAAAATAAAATGTTTTCGCATTTTTTAGTCAAATAAAATGATAGTTGAAATTTCTCTGGGATTTGGACAATAAATAAATTTATATTTTTTGATTAAAATTTTTTTCCCGAGCTCGTACCTAAAAATGAATAAAAATTTTAGGCCAGGCTAGGACTTAGAAATTAAAAATAAATAAATATTTAGAGCTCTATAGTCCTATATTTTTATTACAAAAACCGAACATGTCTATTGGACTCCTTTAGGGTAGTATGATTTAGAACCGGATAGGATCTGTTTCATCCTTTTTTTGCTGATATTTTGTTTACCAATTAACGTCATAATAGTTCACCAAAAAATTTGTTTAATAAAATTAAAATTTAAAATAAGTGGGCATTAAACTACGTCGACAAATTTAATGCGATAAATTCTAATTTACCTTAGTAGCGAAAAAAAAATTGAGCGAAAAAAAAATTTCCCTTTTTTTATTAAAAAATATTTTCTAAATTTAATAGTCTCTTGGTCTTGATCTTCATAAAATTAATATCAAAAAGAATGGCATGAAATTAATGCAAAAAGTAGGATAAATAATTAATTGGGCATTGGTTAAAACATTTTGCTTTAAAATTAATATTAATGAATATTTTTTAATATATTTTAATCTTATATTAAAAAAATAAAATCATATATTTAAAAAATTTGTTGATTTACTTTACAAGTAAGTTTTAATACAAAAAATTGGTGTTTCGGCATTTTTGTCACAACCGGATTTTTAAGACTTGTCGATGGGTCCGACAAAGACCGGATACTTACTATCACTAAAATAGTTAATTAAAATTTTTTTATATTTAATCGTTTTCATGAGAATTAATCACCAGATTCATATTGAAGTTTATGATTTATTTTTAATGCACTAATTATTCTTAACTTCTTGGAGATATTTACACATTGGCCATGCTAAAGCAGCATTATTAAACCAATATTATCAACAAACATTTGACGGAAAACTAATAATGAGGTTTGACGACACAAATCCCGCTAAGGAAACAGAGGAATTTGAAGAGGTATATTTTAATAGTAGATAATTATGCAAATTATTTTTATGAATTATAAATCCTCAAAAATTAATCGATTTGAATAATTACGATATTTTTACTAATAATTCAGATAGAATACTAGTTAAACCTAACGAATAACGGACCTATTATAATTTAACTATCAGAAATTGTTATATTTAAATTTTATTTTCCAAAAATTATTATATTTAGGAAATTTTAAAAGATGTTGAATTGTTGCATATCAAGCCGGATAAATTTAGTCACACGTCCGATCATTTTGAAACTCTCTTAAAATTTAGCGAGCTTTTATTAAAATCGGGATATTTTTATGTTGATGACACTGACCCTGATACCCTTAAGAAGGAACGCGAGGCTAGAAAGTGTTCTAAAAATCGTGATAATAGTGAGTGAACAATAATTATAAATGGTTTATATACAATTTTGTTTCATTTGGTTAACCCCAGAATGGAAACCGGAGATCGCCATGCTATTTGGGTCGCTAAATTTTGGTTTTTTATATTGATTTTCTTTTTTTGGTAATTTTGATTGATATGATATCCCTTTTTCTTTTTTTAGGACTTAGGTAAATTGGGGTTGTTTTTAATAGAGAACCACCGAATTTTTCGCCTTGTCCACCAAAATCTTAGCACTTTCTGGTTAACCAGTAGTGGTGTAACAACTAGAACCCTAATTTTTAAATAATTATAATTACGCCCAAAATGTCTTAAATTCTGCACTCCCTCAACATAATTTCATAAATCGTATTTGGTTTTGAATAACATACTCACCCCTGGTGGATATTAAAAGCTCACAGAAATAAAAGTTGATTTCTAGCAGTTTTCAAATATTGATAAGGCGAATTTGTTGTTCTAATTTTAGACTTATTGTTAACACAAATCATTTTATGTATGACTATCAGAGTTTTAAGTCGTACTTTTAAAAATAGGGCGCTATCATTGCCTATCAAAAAAGGTAGCCAGTTATTAGATACTATTTTTAAATATATTATAACGTATTATCTTGGCATTGCATATAAAATGTCTTTTATTTATGCTATCATTATTTATATTTACAACCTATATGTGTGCATTATATACATAATAAATGAAAAAATATGACAATTTGAAAACTAATTCAGGGTCTGCAAATATTAATTAAAAAAAGATAAGATCCTAAAAGGAAACCGGCCAAAGGCCTGGGAAAAGAGGTCAAAAGGCATATTACGGGGGAGCCTTCCAAATTTTTCTTTGATTAAGCCCTCTGATATTGTAAAAACTAGATAGCTACTGATTGTGCACTAGTATTGATCATGTAGTTTGATTTAAATTAACCTTTTGGGTGTAGCCACCCTTATACCAAAATTATTAAGATATTTTTTTATCTCTTTGAAATTGTTGGCATGAACATTCTAATAAAAATATAAATACTATTATAATTTAAAAATAGAATTTACCTTTAGATATTTCTTAAACTTAATGGCGATTTCCAGGTTGGCCAGATTTCCTTCTGATTATCTTTTCAATTTTTGACGGTCCTGAGCATCAATATTTGTAAGATTATTTTTCTCATATCCACCGCTATCACATTTATCCACGTCATCTTGGCCCTTCCTATAGGTCTTGTCTTACCTCCATCAAGGCTCATCTCTTAACTCAGTCATCTTTTGTCTAACGTTCCTCAGGCCCAAGCCATCTTAGTCAATTTCTTCGCATTATCACTCCAATCACTTCTATACCCCATTCTTTCTCTCAATTCTTTGCTAGTTTTTCTCACTCTCAGAGATACCCCACACATTCATCTAATCTTCCTAATTTGGTTTCGTGGGTCGCTTTCATTGCCCATGTTGCACCACCATAAAATAAATAACTTCTCACACAGTTTACATAAACTTCCCCTTTAACTTCAGAGAGACTTTTATATTTGTAAGAATAGACAACATCTGAACTAGAGGTCTGCCCAAAAGCCCGCCCACCCAATGTTTAAAAAAATATTTAACCCGCCCGCCCAACCCGCCCATAGTTTTCAAAAAATATATACCCGCCCGCACCGCCCATTTGTCTAAAATTCCGAGTTACAAGCTTTTGGAACAAGAATAGATGAAATAGAAAATGATGACGGTATTTCTATGGAATGGCAGATTAATCATTCCGTACTCAATTCAAAAAAGAGTTTTGCATATATTGCATACGGGACATCCGAGTATTACAACAATGAAATCCATTACGAGACATTATATATGCTGGGAAAAATTAGATAAAAATGCCGAAAAACTAGTAAAGTGTTCTTCACTTAAAAAAACGATTGGTACAATAAAAAAAGAAATATTTATTGATCATAATTAATTATGATTTTCTTTATGTTTTAACAAAAATTTTAAATTTCCTTAACCCGCCCGCCCATTGTTTAAATTTCTTAACCCGCCCACCTGCCCACCCATAGTTTCAAAATTTTTTAACCCGCCCGCCTGCCCATTTTCAAATAATTTTTTACTCGCCGTGGGCGGGCGGGTCGAAACCCCGTTCAATGCAGACCTCTAATCTGAACTTCTTCCATTGTTGTGTGACCCTTGCAAAAACAGCAGAATCTATACCACCATCTGCGTTTAGCATATCTCTTAAATAACAAAACTTATCCACTTTTCCTAGGACTAACCCATTGCCAATATCCAAACCACCATTTTCTACGTTAATTATTTACCCCTTTTATGCACGTTCTACAAATAGCAACATTGGATTTCCTCTTTTCCCGCTACATCTATTATTCACCCATTTCTTGCATCTGGTGCATTGGATTGATTTCATAACAACTTCTTTCCCACATACACCACAAGGCCAGTTGTTGGATTCCTCCATTTTCAGATTATCCCCACCTTGGCTGCATTCATTTAGCCATCTTCCAATTACTAATTTTATCCCGCAATTCTTCCTCAATGTTTGAATTAATACAAAGTCATCTGCATATAATAGCTAGAAGTCCTTCACGCATTTCTCTAGCCACCACATCCATTACTAAGATAAATAATAATGGACCTAGCACGGATCCTTGATGAAGTCCTATCTTCACATTAAAGACTTCACTATCTCCATCATCCGTCCATACCGCAGTTTGGGCTCCCAGATACATTGCCATCACTACCATAACCAAGCATTCTTCTACACCTGATCTTCTCAAGGCCTATCTAACAGTTTATTTTCCTTCGCAAGATACTTCTCCTGTATTTGTCTCACCACAAAGATTGCACCTGCCGTGCCTTTCCCCGATGTAACCAAACTGCATTTCATCAATTTTAATTTGTTCCCTTATCCGCTCCTCTCAAATACTTTCATTGCATGTTCCAAGAGTTTAATAGCTCTGTAAGACCCGCAATCTAAAGGATCACTTTTCCCTTTGTACACTAGTATAATTATATTTTTTTGCAGTTCCTTGTGAAGAGTTTATTCTGTGACAATTTGATTGGCTCAATTCATTAACCTTTCAATCCCTAAATCATCAGAACTTTTAAGCCACTCTCGTTAAACCCGCTGCCTTCCCTTTTTTCATCTTTTTCACTGCTCTCTTGCCAAATTTACACCCTGGACCTTCTACCTTTGCACAACTAACATCATTATCCAATTTTCGTTCAAAAGTCCTTCCAGGTGTTTTTACTATCAATCACCATTTTTCCTTCCATATTTTTCAAACATTTAACACCTACCACATCCTGCTTGCCATTCGAATCACATTTCCCATTCCTTCCGCACATTCCATTTCTTTGGCAAACTCCTGCCCTTTTTATTCTTGCGCTTTCGCTATTAATTTCTTAGCTTTTCTTTTCTCCACCTTGTAAATATCGTTATCACAGTTTTCTTTACTATTATACCATAATTGAAGCACCTTCGTTTCTCGTCCAAAGCTTTAGCTACCTCCGGATTCCACCATCATCTCTCCTTATGTCTAGGCGGCTCTTTTGTCCATCAACATACGTCCTCAGTTGTCCTCACCCAGGTTTTCTTCATAGTTTTCCACTTGTCATTTACCCCAGATGCTTGTGCCACCTCCACCTCTCTTATCGCCCATATCATATTGAATTGAAGTATAGCACTCTCCTTTTACAATTTCCAAACCTCCAGCCTTGGCACAAATTTTCTTTTAGTGATCCTGGTGCCTTTAAAAATGATATCTCCTATAACTAGACGGTGCTGATCAATACTAATCTCTTCCGGTATCACTTTCACATTTTTTACTATGCTCCTATCACATCTCCTTACTAACAAATAATCTACTACCCGACTTGTAAGTCACCAGCGTCTGATTCTTCTCAAAATTGGATGCCTTTAAAAATGATATCTCCTATAACTAGACGGTGCTGATCAATACTAATCTCTTCCGGTATCACTTTCACATTTTTTACTATGCTCCTATCACATCTCCTTACTAACAAATAATCTACTACCCGACTTGTAAGTCACCAGCGTCTGATTCTTCTCAAAATTGGATTACATGTCCATAGCATCACCAAAATCCAAAATTATCTCCTTTTCCGGATTTCTCATGCCGTAACTAAATTCTCTACGTACTCTCTCATAACCATCACTACTCGCTCCCACATGTCCATTCAGATCACCAGCCAGAATAATCTCCTCTTCATTTGCCAGGCTCGATGTCACACCCAATAGACTGTCCCAAAATGTATCTCTCTTCTTCACTTCTTCTAACCTGAGGAACATATGCCTAATTAATATTGTATAGCTTTCTATCAAAAATCATCTTGTTTATCATTATCTAATTATCTAGCTTTCATACTTCTATTATTTTATCAACCCATTTTTCTGCAACCAAAACCCCAATGCCAGCATTACCATCATTACTTCCTAGCCAGAAAAATTTGTACTTTTCACTTATCCTGCCAATCGTTATTGTGCCATTCCCTCCATCTGGTCTCTTGTATGCAACGCACATCTATATGCCTTCTATGCATACATCGACCACTTCTCCCGCTCTTACCATCATACTCAACATTCCACGTCTCAACCCTTACTCTATCCCCTGTAAACTGGTTTCTCCACTTATTATCAGGTCGTTTATGGCCGTCATATGTTTCATTTTCACTAATCATGGTTCCACCAGTTTTCCCATCCTTCTTTTTGTCGAAGGCAGAAGGAGGTCCACGGGGTACTTTGGGCTGTACCCCGCCCATGCTTTGTTGTAATCATTAGAAAATTTTGTAGCAAGGTTTTTACAATCGGATGCCCTTCCTGATATCAACCTCTTTGGTTTTTACAGCCCGTCGAGGAGAGGGTGATCCTATTCTAGACCCAGACCACAGAGAACGTTTTAAACCTTCATTAGCCGCCAAAAGACGTTGCCACTCCCCCACTACGATTAGGCTGAAGGTAGGATTTTGGAGAGAACTGCTAGATTTAATGGAAATATAATTTTATTACATTTTAAACATAAAAATTTGTAGCCAACTTTTTTTTCCCGCCAATTTGAAAATATTTTTCAAATTTTGGAAAAGGAAAATTGGTGCTATTGTTATCAACAGAGTTGTTAAAGTAGCGCGCTATCTTTTTTGGTAGCAATAGCTAATAGCCGCTACTTTTTTTAAAATTATTTAATTTTTTAGCGCGCTACTTTTAAAAAATATAATGAATGTAAGTATAAACTTGAAAATTTAAATATAATATCATAATTAATTATAATTTTTATAATTTATTATTTAATTTTGAAATTTAAATATATTTTCAATTTTTAATTTATATTTTCAATCTGTGTTAATAATCTAAAATGGAATCGCCCATGGATATCCAAATCCTTGAAAGTGATTCAGACATGGAAGATTCAATGGAAGAAAATGTACTTAATAGCTCTAATAACGATTTCTTATTCCCTAAATTTGAAAATTTTTTTAAAATAAATATTAAAACAAAATCTGGATTCAAATTCCTGTGCTTAAAATGTAAAAAAAATATATCATCAAATCAATCGAGTAGCTATAACCTGAAGAAACACCTAAAGGTAAATTGTTATTTTTACATTATAATATTATTTATTTTATTAGACTGTTCACGCCAATTGCTATAAGGAAATAGAGAAACATATAAAAAATTTTGGTATAAGAGAATCTTCATTCAAAAAGACAAATACTATCCAAACCAAATTAACTGATAATAAACATGCCAATATTTCACAAAAATTGGCTGATAAAGTAATTGTTGATTTTATTATTGACACAGTTCAGCCATTGTCCTTGGTTGATAATCCATCATTTACTATGATGATTAAAACTTTATCCCCTGGCACAATAGTTTTATGTCGCCAGACACTTATGAATAAAATAGCCGACAACTTCAAAGTGATGAAAGATGCTCTAATAGTAGAGTTATCAGATATATCTTATGTATGTACACCGGCAGATAGTTGGACACATAACAGAAGGTAAAAACTTATTTATATTTATAAATTGATCTGATTAAATATTTTTAGAGCTTCCTTGCCCTCAAGTGCTTGTGTCGAGAGATTATTTAGCAAAGCTTATACTTTCTGATCGTCGCTCTAGACTTGGGGATGATAATATTGAAATGATATTATTATTAAAATGCAACAAATTAAAATAAATATTTATTTATATTGCTTATTTTTTTTATAATTTAAACTAACTATATTTTTATATTTATAAATGTTGATTTTTATATATTATTTATTATACATTTATATTATAAGCAAAAAAAAAAATTTGTTTCATTTGTTTCTAAAATTTTTTTTATAAAAGTAGCTTAAAAGTAGCTAAAGTTACTTTTGAAAAAAAGTAGCTAATAGCGCGCTACTTTTTTTTACAAATAGCGAAAGCGGTAGGGCGCTACTTTTTTTGACAAATAGCTATAGCGGTAGCGCGCTACTTTTAAAAATAGCGTTTAACAACTATCAAGAATATTATTTTCCTCCATTGTAACTTCCACTTCGTTATATTATCAGCGTCTAATTACACGCACTTACATCGATATCCATTTGTATAAAAATTTTAATTAATTATACGGTTTAGGTTTTATTATACAAATTTTGAAATTATTATTTCAAAATAAAATATAGATTTTAATTGAAATTATTTTTTTTCGTGTTTATAGTTATATTCATTATATTTATTTAAAGTAGCAGGCTACTTGATTATTTAAAAAAAAAGTAGCGCGCTAATACAAACTTTGAAATTATTATTTCAAAATAAAATATAAAAATTATAATTTTTAATTGTAATAATTTTTTTTCGTGTTTATATTTATATTCATTATATTTATTTAAAGTAGCAGGCTAATTGATTACTTTAAAAAAAGTAGCACACTAATTTAACCACTGAACTCTATAAACGATATTTTCAATCAATAAGGCATTGAAAAGAATCTGAAAATGTGGGAAGAAATGAAGAAAGGAACAATTTATGGGCAAACTTGTTGTGTTAGAGCAAAAATTGAGATGGATTCTAATAATGGCTGTATGCGAGACCCTACTATGTACAGATGCAAAAATGAAAATCACATTCGAACATGCGATAGATACAAGTTAATTATTTCTTTATCGTGAATTTTGGTTCACTTAAGCACCATTCTAAATAAAAGGATCATTAATATAATAATTTAACAAACCCATTAATTAACTTTTTATAGTAAAAAATCAGGGATACAAATCTGAACAACCTTTAAACAGGGATTTTTTATCGAACCGAACTTGAACCTTTTAAGGATTTTATTCCGAACATCAATCTAACTGTTGTAAATGATTGTGAACCGGTTGAGCCCCATGATTTTATTTTTATGAAATAATTAGTATTACTAGTATATTGCTAAAATTCTAATATATACTAATTGTTTTAAGAATTATTATCAATTAATTTTCATTGATAATTAACAGTCACAATTTTTATATATTTTTATTTATTGCTATTTTACTATATTTTTTAAATATTTTAACTCAATCTTTTTATATTAATTTTAAATGCTTATTAATGCCTAGATAAATTAAATTCAATATATAAATTATTTGCTTATAGTAATGTAAATAATACATCAAAATTTCAAGCTGAAGATTGTGATACTATTAAAATATGGTATAACAGATATAAATTGTTATAAGAGTGGGTGACTAGTGAAAATATATCAACATCAATGAATAGGTCTTCGTCTGAAGACGATTTCTTAATAAACAAAACTATTATAGCTATCAGAGACTATATGGATTATAATCAGAGTAGATTCCCCGAATTATATAAATCTAATGTTATACAGTCTTCTACTCAAGTTAGCTTGGAGGGATGTTTTACAACAATAAAATTTATATTTTCTTTATATCTAGATATAATTTGATTGACTAGAAAAATAATTTTTTAATTGTACAGCTCAATATTATTTTTTTAAGTAAATAATGTTCAATATTGCAGTTAATAAATGATGATTATTTGTTTTAATTTATAAGTTAGTAATTATTTATAATGTGTAATTTATAATATTGTTTTTTTAATAATGAGATAAAATTTTAAAAAATGTGCAATTCGAATATAAGTTTGTATACCAAAGAGTTCGAATCGATCTAATATTAATTTTTATAAATAAGGATCCTGAACCTTTATGTTTGTCTGAAGCCGAATCGTATTGGTTTCAATTTAGATCCCTGAAAAAATGCTTTATTTTTTAAAATTTTAATCTAAAGAACCCTGTAAAAATAAGTTGTTTAAAAAATAGTTACAAATACTATATCAGAACCATTAAAAAACAACCGTTTCGAATATGTTACCCTGACTATTTATGGGTTTTGTAATATATAGAAGTTATATTGTTAATAAATTTTTTTAAATGAAGAGTTTACCCTACATATGATTTTGCGTGTCCCATAGTTGATAGCATAGAAGGGGTTACTCATGCTTTGAGAACCACTGAATATCATGACAGGTAATTATTTAAAAATATATTTAAAAAATATATATTATATTTTATTGGAAAAAAAATCCATTTTTTATTATGTTAATTAGAGATGATCAATATTACTGGATATACGATACCATAGTTACGGTTTGCAACTCTGCACCTGACCCTCTTATTAATCCCCATTCCTTACAACTACCTAATAGACCCAATATTATGGAATATTCCCGACTCAATATGATGCATACCGTTTTGTCTAAAAGAAAATTGAATTGGCTTCTTAATGAGCTGGGGGTGGTTCAGGGTTGGGATGACCCTCGGTTTCCTACTCTCAGAGGCATTTTAAGGAGAGGACTAACTATAGAGGGACTCAAGAATTTTATTTTGGCTCAGGTTTCTTTTACATTTATTTTCCCTTTGTTGGCTATCTATCACTTAGCAAGATTTTGCCATTACCATCAAATGCATGCCATTGATACGATTCACTGAATCGTTCTTTTTAGTTTAGTATATAATGAAGATTCATAGGCTCGTCTGATATAATTTTTTTATATATTTTTTAACATTAACATTACTCCCGATTATAATTAGAACAATGATCATTGGAGTCAATGAAAGAAGTTACAAAATAAGAAATCTAGTTTTTGCTAATTAGGAGTCAATGAAAGAAGTTACAAAATAAGAAATCTTTTGCTAATAAAATTTTTTTACTACCAGCCTCACACCAACCTTAATATTGATCACTTCTAAAGAGTTAGCCCTCCCCACCCCCAATTAATATTTAAAGGATTTTCTAAGTCGATTAGAAAACTCATCTAAAAAATTACTTCCTGCAACTTGGTCATAATTAACCACTCATATTTGGCCACTTTAGAAAGTTTATATCATATTTCATCCTTCATACAAGTAAGTTATTAATTTAAAAAAATCAACATTCTAATTTGCATCACGAATCTATAGGGTTCATCTAAATCGGTTGTCAATATGGATTGGGACAAAATTTGGAGTTTTAACAAAAAAGTCATAGAACCATCGGCACACCGTTACGTTGCCTTAGATAGAGAGAATATTATTAAAGTTGTAATTCAGGGGCTTCAAGAATCTGTTAGAGACATCCCGCTTCATCCCAAGGTTCGTAATAAATATTAAATTTTATTTAGTGAAATGACCTATATCACATAACTTAAAAATACAATGTCCTAACTGAGTCTTATTTATTCTATGAAGGAGGGAGGATAAGAAGTTAGTGTTAAAGACAACAACATGGTCACAACATATAATAATTTACTATAAACTCCCAAATTTTATTAAAATATATATACAATCATTTCCTGATATAAATAAACCGTTACCCATATCTCTAACCTTTTGATACTGCCCTCTTTCCTAATTTGACCCTATAGATGATCAAACGTCCGGACGGGGTGCAATCCCGTTCAAAATTAGCGTCCTTGAGGTGTATCCCGCCCAAGATTAGCGTCTTTGAGACGTATCCCGTTTTTCAAATAAGACCGAAAAGTTGGCAAGATTTTATTAAATTCTTAGAAAATAAAAATACTACCTAACATCTCTTGAGAATAAGTATTATTTATTCATATATTTTTCATCATATCTTAGCAAACGACTTATTTAAAATTGGGACAAGTTCAACCATAAAGTAAATTCAAATGATACTCTCTAATTATTATTACGAAATTTAACATTATGCCCTTTTTTTCTTACATATAATAAAACTTTATATATATTTTTGAAAAATTAGTATTAATATAATAATAAAATATATTATGATTTTAAAAAATTATATTTTCTATTAAAAAATTAATGGGACGGAAAAATTAGGACTGGGACGGACGTGGATTCGTCTTGTCCAAGGTATAATGTCTATGAGACAAGGCCAGTCTTAAATATTAAAAATAAAATGGACATTTTACCATCATCGATAGTAAATGCGTCCAAATAGTTCAGAAAAAATTGTACCAAGCCTCAAATTAAACCCGGTAGCAAATGTGTTTTTAATCGGGATGCATACTTCTGAGCTTCTACATTTCTTTGTATATTTAAAGCATTTAACATCGACTATATTAGTTATATCGATCATAATAAATTTTGGTTCATTCAATATCACATTATTGGCCATTCCATGACAAACGATCAAAAAAGGACCATTTTCGTAGACCTCTTTAAAATAAATGAAACTTAGTATTTAATTTTTTAAGCCATAACTCAATTAGTTTTGAAAATATGGTGAGTCAACGTTAAAAAATGGCTTCCTTCCTAATTCGGAAAACTTAAAAAAATAAAGATTACTCAAAATATATAAATTAGACCTATATTTGGTATTATTAGATAACCCTTTAAAAAATCAGGTATTTTTTCATTTCTGGAAAAAGTAAAGGTTAATTTTTTAATATTTGCTTGAGTTTATTCTAATTTGTATATGGTGAATTCCATATCGAATCCAGAAAGGTTTCAACCCGACGCCCTTCAATTTTTCTTAAATTTTGTATACTGGTAGTATATACTATAACTAGGAAAAAATGTAATTTTACCCCCCAACGCTGTTTACCCGTTAAGATATGCGCGTTTAAAGCGCGGAAAAGTGGTACATTTTTGACAAAATTCACCTCATTTATTTTTGAGAAATAATTTATTATTTTATTATGTAGGTTAATAAAAGTTCTTTAATATGACTTAGAAATAAATATAATAGAAATCTGATTATTGTCGAAAACCGGAAATAGCAATAGAAAAAAAGGTATTTTTTTTCAATTTTTTCTCCTGTAGATAAATATCACATTGCTTATATGTACAAAATCCTAGACTGGGGTGAACATGGCTCTAGGAGTTATGACCCTTTCTATGGTTAAAATTGATCAAATTTAACACGGCCCGACCTTTTTAATTTCGATAAAATTTTGCATACTGAGAAAATATCATTAGAAAGCATTGAATCCAAAATTTTAGCCTCCTAGTACTAATAATTTGAGATATCAATGGTCAAAAGTGCCAAAAATGAACTTTTTTCGAAAAATACGATTTTTTAAAATGGAGATAAGTTAGAAAATAATGATTTTAAAAATATAAGTTATATGTCATTTTGTAAATCTATTAAAGGCCTTTTATTAAATATTAAAGATTTTTTTGAAATAATATTGTTGCGGTTTTTATTTACGTTATAAATTTTAAACATAAAAACTCCAGGTGTTTCACTTTTCAAATTTTTTTGAATTTAATATTTTCTTATTCTCTAACCTTATATCTATTCATAAAAAAATTTAAACTTGGGACAACCATGGGTTTTTTAGTTATTGAAATTTAAAAAATAAATATTTTTTTCAAAAATAGATGGCGCTCCTTTATAAAATAACGCGTTTTGTTGAGATTATTATTTTTTTAAACTTTTTTCAATTTTAAAAATAAATAGCAAGATTTTCTCTCATTAATATCATGAAATGAGATTATTTAGTTGCGGTTATAATCATTTATTTCTTATAAAAAATTTTAAATTTCGAAAATTTTATAAATTTTGTAGATATAATAGATAAATTAAAATTCATGAAAGATATTACCTATTTTCGGTTTTTCATTAAATTTAGTTTTTTTGACGCCATGATAATTTCTTGTTGCGATAAATTATATGTTAGCCCAGTAGCCGTTGATAGGCTAACTATTGTTAAAATATTATTTTTTGGTATGAAAAGGATATCTTGTGCAGCTAGATAAACAAAAGAATTTGCTAGTCCTTTAGGGTGAAGAAAATTAATTTTTACTTCATCTCTAATTACATTCACTTCTTGTACAAATCCTAACCACCAATAGTTTTCATATGCACATGTTACATATCCTCTAATCTCATCGATTAATTGATCCTCAATCAAAGGATCCTCACGTGGATATACTATATTCTCCACAATAAATGTCTGCGAATTAGAATATAGTTTAGTGTTGAGTTTAGTTAAACAATTACTCGCCTTTAAATGATTATATAATTCTTTCAAATTATTAAGAACTAACCTTTTTTGAGCGTTCACTCGTTCCCCTTTTCAATGATAGATTATGCAATCTCTTTTTCCTGGTAATACCCTACTAACTTAATCACTGCAAAATTTTTTTTAACAATATCAATTGTTTTTTGATTGAGATGTTTTTGCAGGCTTTCGATTTGAGTTGAAAGAATCCCCTTTTCTTCTAAAACGATTTTGGAATTATATGCCATATGATTATGTAGCGTTGAATGTCGTTTTTATTTTATTTGCGCTCCAACTAGGAGGCAGAATGGTCAGCAATTGATATTTTTTTATTTTTAGATAAATTTGGATATTGTAATTTCATATTATTGAGTAATATCATTATTATCTTTTGTACCCGATTCTGGATTGTTAATTATTATATCTGAAATTTAAATTTAATGAATACTTATGAAATAATGTTTATTTAAAAATTATGTCTAAATGATAGGCCCTTACTTTTTTTTATCTTTAACAAAAAAGTTGAAAGGTGGTTAAGATAATGTGGTTTATTTACCACTAGTTAAATTTTGTCTCTAAATTACTTGAAAATTGTTTAAATATTTTATTTAGCATAAAATAATCTGCCAAAATTAAAATTCAACAATAAATTTTTCCCCGGATCTTTAAAAATAAAGAAATGAATAGTTATGAAATAATGTTTATTTAAAAATTATGTCTAAATGATAGGCCCTTACTTTTTTTTTATCTTTAACAAAAAAGTTGAAAGGTGGTTAAGATAATGTGGTTTATTTACCACTAGTTAAATTTTGTCTCTAAATTACTTGAAAATTGTTTAAATATTTTATTTAGCATAAAATAATCTGCCAAAATTAAAATTCAACAATAAATTTTGCCCCGGATCTTTAAAAATAAAGAAAAACTTAATATATTATTTGACGCGAATTCAATAAATTATATAACATTCAAACAATGGATAGCAGTTGATCGAACTACCCTCGAAACACTGACAAAATCCGCCGACGAATTCATAGATTATTTAATTGGAAAATTAAACAATTTGATTCCTCACTCATTTATATCTTCACAATAATAATTATTTCGAAATTTTTTAAAATCCAATTTAAATGTTGGCGAATTCTTAGTTATTGCGGACTTTTCAGAAAACTATGCATTTGTAGTGCAAGAGCATGCACGATTTCATTGGACCAATAATCAGGCCACTATCTACCCTTTTATGTTTTATTACCATGAGAACAACATAATAAAACATGTAAATTTTGTGTTTATATCAGATTGTTTAAAGCACAACACATGTACATTTTATTTATTTCAAACAAAATTCATCTTATTCTTGAAAGAAATATTTGATAGAGTGGCTAAAACTTATTATTTTTCTGATGGGGCAGTAACCCAATATAAAAAATAATAAAAAACTTCATTAATCTCTGCAATCATGGAAATGATTTTGGGATAAAGGCTGAGTGGCATTTTTTGAAACCGCACATGGTAAAAGTCCCTGCGACACATGGATTTATTTATCTATGCAAGAAATAATATCCATGGGGTAAATTAAATATTTTTGAGTAATAATGAATATATTAACATGGAAAATCATCTTGAAAGCAGTTATTGAGAGCTAAAAGAATATCTGGAACACAAAAGTTCCATAAAGTCAAAATTTATTCAAATTCTTTGGATGATTTAATATGTGATATATTTTTAATAAAATTATAAATTTTTGATTGTATTATATGTAATTATGCAATTTGAGACAAATAAAGTTATAAATATGTTTAGAATTATTTTGTCAAGTAATTTTGAGACAAAATTTAACTTAAGATAAACATTATTTCATAACTATACATTTTTAAATATGATATTTATGCTAAATTTGATCAATTTTAGCCATATAAAAGTCATAACTCATAGAGCCATGTTCACCCCTGCCCTGTCTAGGATTTTGTACAAATATAAAAGAGTGTGATATCTATAGGGAAAAATTTTTTTTATAAAATAATACCTTTTTTTATGGCTATTTCCGGTTTTAGATATCTGGTTTTCGATATTAATCAGATATCTATCATATTTATTTGTATGTCATATTAAAGAACTATTATTACGTTACATAATAAAATTTAAATTATTTCTCTATCATAATTATTTCTCGAGATATTTAAAAATAAATGAGGTGCATTTTGTCAAAAATATATCATTTTTCCGTGCTTTAAACGCCTATATCTTAGCGGGTAAGCAGTGTTTGGAGGTAAAATTTTATTTTTTTCTTAGTTATAATATATACTACCAGTATGCAAAATTTAAGAAAAATTGACTTTTTTTTGTCGATTTGATATGGAATTCACCATATGTTTACGAAATCAATAAATTTATATTGAAAAATTTAGGCTGAGATAACCATTGTTATTTTAGTTATTTAATTTTTTCTAATTTATTATCGATAAAAAACGTTTGTAAGTGCATAAGACGCTAAGTTGCTGTTAGGCGATTTACAATTCTTATGTTATTGACAGGTAAATAATTTATCTTCATTAGGTGTAAAAATAAAGGATGGAGAGGGTCCATGTGGATTCAGAAAATAAAACTTGCACTTATTCAGCTATTTCATTTTTATCTATAACAACCTCCAACCATCAAAAGTTATCGTATAAACATTAATATCATTCATTCTAAATCTCGTATCTTGATAAGTAATATTTTCCACCATGCCTTCATGAGAATTTATAAAAAAATTTTTACTGGTTCTCAGACCTAGTGGAAAAACTACAGCAATGCAAGTGCTTTACTAAATCTTTTAAGAAATTTAATTTCTTCTTCATTCGTGTGCTACAATTTACAAATAATTTTTAAATAAGAAATAAATTGTGTAAAAGATTTAGTAAAGCACGCGCAATAACTGCCAAGCACAATATACATGCGTGGGTCTGAAAACTATTCAAACAAAAGTTTTTTCAAATGCTCACTATTAGAAAATATTACTTATCATAATAAGAAATTTAGCATGAATTATATTAGTCGTTATGTAACTTGTTTGAGCTAACTTTTGGTGTTCGGCGGTTGTTATAGATAAAAATGAAATGACCGGCTGCATTCACATGGACCTCTTCATCCTTCATTTTTCCACCTAATGAAGATAAATTATATACATCTCTCAATAACAATATAGGAATTGTAAATCGCCTAACAACAACTGAACCAATACTTATACACCTACATCCATAGACGTTTTAAAAACCACAACAAAATGAAAATGGATGATTAAATAATGATATTTTGTTTCAAAATTAAGTAAATGCAATTTTATTAATTTTATTAATTATATATATTTTTTATTTTTAAAAAACAATTTTGATATTTTTAGCACATCACCATTTACAATGGCTTTTATATTGATTTATTAAACATATATACCAATTTAAGAAATTTTTTTATTCCCAAGCACATATTAAAAAATCAACCTCTACTTTTTCTGAAAATGAAAAAACATCTTAGTTTTTTTAAGAAATAAATGAAAAGAAAGGGATTCAAGGGCTCTCTGATGATCTCAAATATAGGTTTCTATTATTTATATTTTTTGAGTAATTTTTATAAGTTTTTAGGGAGCTGGCCATATCTCCGGAATTAATTGAGTTCGAGCTTAAAAAATATATTGCTTAGGTCCTCACAACATATATAATCATCATGCGAAGTTTCATTCTATTTAAAAGAGGTTCACGAAACCTGATCGATTTATGTTTTATTTAATATTAACTTCTATAGGACTGAGTTAGAAAACTACATTTCAAATATTATTATAAACTAAACACAATAAATAAATTCTATAAAGGATGTCTCATTCGGCTCTAAAAAAACCTTGTTTAGCCCTAACATGTTGATAGAACAGGCGGACGGAGTTTTGATGAAGGAAGGGGATATCGTAACATTCATGAATTTAGGTAACGTACGTGTAAACAAAATCAACTACGCCGATCACAATAAATCTTTGATATTTATGATAACGGGAACTTATTTGCCCAACGATAAGGTTTTAATTAGTCAATTTATTCTAGTAGGCTTTTGTACATTGATATTTTCATACCAGTACGGGCCAACCAGGTATTTCTCCTTCGTTTGGTGATGTTTTAGAAATTTGACTTTTTGCCTTTAAAATTTTAGATTTGGGTGAAATTTTGTATACAAACTTAGGATATGTAACTAAATGTTCAAGTCAAATTTTAGCATCCTATCTCTTATAAAATTGAGAATGAATTATGCAAAACTCTCAGCTAGCAAGAATATTTTTTAGGTTTTATAAATTACAAATACAAATGAATAAAAATTTCGTTGAAAATTTTTTTTATTGTGCACATAAATTAAAGGTACTAGATATATACTTCATTAATTATTTTTTAAAAATAATGAAAAATTTCCCTTCATCAAAGTAAAAATAAATTTCTAAACCACACCTCATAAAGATAGGAAAATTTCTGATTCACCCATCATAAAATAAAGGTGAAACTTATTATTCAATCATCATCAAATAAAGGAGAAAATTCTGATTCCCCTCATTCTTGACGGGTTATTTGCTAGTAAATATTAGAATATTTAAAAATATTACAAGCATTATGTACTATTATTTAAAAATAACATAATATGTAGAATATTATACTATATTGGAATAAAAACCGAATTAATATATAAAGCACTATTTTGTGTTTATTGCATAATGTATAATAATAAAAGAAAACTTATAAACAAAAAATAAAAAATGGTTAATTATTTTATGCAAATTTGAATATAACACAAAATACAGCCAACATTATTTAAAGATATTTAGAATGGAATTAAGAAGTTAGACCAGGCCAAGATTATTTTTTAAATCCGAACAAGACTAGAAAATGGCGGGAACAAAATTTGAACTCAGTCGGGGTCTTAAAATTTTATCTCTACAGGTCTTTAATACTTATTTTATTATTCTAGGACTATAAAAACACGATAAAAATAAATTGGCTTGCAACTAAAAGTGTGGATCAAAAAAATTTGACTCTCGGTGATAATTTAATACCTATCGATTCCATTTCATTCGATTATCTTATCACGAAACCTGTTCTCGCTAAAGAAGAGGATTTTAAGGATTACATTAACACCAAAGATACCTGGGTTACATTTTTTAAAATAATATTTGGCTTTTTATTTGTCGCCGTTTAATTACTTTTATATTATTTAAACACCGCTTCGAGCTGTTTTACACGAGAGCGATTTTTAAATATAAAAGGCATTTAAATTTATTTGTATCATCATGGAAAATAATTAACATTGTTATTTTGTCTTTTACAAAAGATAAATATATTTAAATATACATTTCTAATGATATTATTTGCCAATAAAATAATTTTTATTAGTTTATAATATGTGTATACTGGTTTTAAAAAATAATCAGATTGAAAAAAGGTACATCGGTGAAATCGCTCTCGGAAATATTAAGAAAGGTCAAATAATACAGTTGCTAAGAAAAGGATTTTACATTTGCGACTCTCAGTATGAATCATTCGACCGTAATATATGTAGACCTTCAATTCCTCTTCGTTTGTTTTCCATACCCGATGGTTCATCTACTACTACCACCATAAATACCAACTCGACTTGCAATGTAAAAGATAAGGTTATTAAAACAATAGTGAATCCGTACACAAAAGAAAAACCACAAGTATATATATTTGAGACATGTTTCTGATTAAACTTAAACTATGGGGTCATTCCACTTGAAATCAGAGTTGTTTCTTGCACCATTTTTCAAATCAAAGTTTTCACAATGCTTATGTATGTTGTGAGGAATATTACAATCGAAATTCTATTGCTTCGCATTTAAAGAATATAGCCTTTGAATTCCACAGTAGTTCCGACGTATTTATAATTTTTTAATTTTATATATATGTTCCTTAAAGTAAGACAAATGTATGCCAAAAAATTCATGGGGTAAGAATTTGTTTTAGTTATTCTACTTTTTTTAAATATTTTTACCGATAAAAAGTATATTCTAGGTGATGCCATGCAAAAAATGAAGTAATAAATCGATTTTATTAGAATTTAAGGATTAGTGGCCTATACTTCTCAAATTTCTTGTCCAGCCTGGTTCGAAATAACAATTATTCTTCATTTTCCTACCCGATCAGGCCCATATTTTTAACATTTAATATTTCTTCTTGCCCATGTAATTATATAATTCGGCTGTACCCGATTTATAAAATTTTGATTTTTAAATAGATTGCTATATTTTCTCTAATTTAAAGCGGTTTTATTAATTTTAAAAGGAAATATTGATATGGAAAGCGGTTGAAAATGATATATGTGTCGTGTTCAGATTTCAATAAATTCATGGATGAAGTTTAGAAAATAATGAATTATTGATAGATAATCTGCTATTGTCATCCAAGATTACCGAGTCTTTCATTAAACAAATTCCCAATCAACTCCATCCAATGGTCATATTATAAAAATTCGGAATTAATCATGTTAATTATGTATTCATATAAGAATGATTATAACATGATATTAATTCAGTCCATTTATATTAAAAATTATCCTATTTTTAACAAATTTTGATTCGGATCTGCAAAACAATATAAAAATCGATTATTTTTGAATCTTTATCATTATAGTGATTTTGAAGTGGGTGCAGAATGACATTTTTAACACCTGCCTACGGAATTCCTGCGGTGTTATTGGAGGAATCATATAACGCTTAGGAGCAAGGTCAAGCTTACAATTACTTACATCCTAGCAAATTTTACCCCTCGCGATCTATATAATTTCAAATTAAAATATTAAACAGATACATTTTTTAGTTGCATTACAAATATATACGATAAAAAAGAACTTAAACTGAAGAATTTAGCAAAACTCACCTAATAGCTAACATGGATATATTCCGTTAGTCCTATAAGTTTGAGAAATATTGAAAATGAATTTATTCAAATCTATTAAAATAAAAAAAGTCGAAAACATTATATAACTGGATATAATATTTCAAATGGCCCATATAATGATATGTAACTTATTTGTATGATTTTTGGTGGTTGACCTTTCTCGATAAAAATGAGATTTCCAAGGAGTAAAAGTTAGTTCTTCATCCACACGTCTCCATCGTTCTTTTCCGTCTACGAAGAATAAATCTAATATCTAGATCAGTAGCTTGCATATATATGATTTTATTTCGGAAGAGGGAAGGTGTTAAATGTCCGGTTGGCACCCCTTTAAATACGCCAATAATCGCTGTTAATAACATTATAGCAATTGTAAATAGCAACTTATATTCTTTCACCTAATGAGATTTTAAAAAATGCTTTGCTACTTAATTTTTTTGTATGGCGCGCCATATATAATATATTGTAAAAAATTAGAAATTCTTGAATAAATCTAAAACAAATTTTTCCCCACTTGTCTTCTTTAATGAAGATATATACAAATTTCAGAAATTCTAAACGCGTCGCTACCAAAAAATCGGTCTTTACCTTTTCTAGAAGTGATAAAATACTAATAAAATATAAGTTTTTATTATTTATATTTTTCTAGCAATCTTTATTTTTAAGTGTTTAGCGATTCACCAATACCAATGCTTATAACGGTCAATACCGTTATCGGCCGATATTTTCAATTTTAATAGATGCTAGTAGTCAAAATTAAAAAAAAATAATTCGTAAATTGAATTTTTTAGTCTATATTAAGAGTTATGAATTTATATTTAAAAAATCATATACAAATTCTAAACCGTTATTTGAAACTTAAAAAATTTGCTCAGTAGATTGCCCTAGTGTAATCCTGCTAAGTTGACTAAAAACAAGAGCTCCTAAAGGACCTAGAATCAAAACCCTACAGATCACGACATTTAGAGAACTGAAGGAGTAAGAGGGGAAATTTTATGAATGAAAGTCTCGTACTCGACTTTCTGTGGTGCCTCACTGTCACTCCCTTTTTTACCTTGAAATTGTGTTATCTCAGAATATTTATGGGAAGTCAGTAATAGTGTTATTAAACTGCTCGATTTAAAACGGCTAACCCAATATAGCCAAAAATATTATGCAAGCCTTGAGATTTCATTAATAGATGTCCAAACATTTCTGCATTTATGAGCAAAATCTTCTGGCTTGCATAATATTTATTGACTAAAATATTGGGTAGCCGTTTTAAAAAATCGAGTCATTTAACAACACTAGTCAGCAAATAATCAATAGATTTTTTGTTGGCGGTGAAGTTAGGAGATAGGTTATTTTACCTTGCTATATATTTATATTTGTTTCAAAGATTTTGTTTTATGAAATTTTTCATCAAATACAATGTTTATTTCCTGAGATGATAACTGCTAGTTTAACCTTTACCAATCAGTTCTAATAACCTGAGTTGTTTAAATATCGCGATAGTGTGATTTCTTTTCTTTTCTGAATTGAGATTATTTGTAGGACGGCGCCTGTCAGATGAAAAATATCAATAAGATTTTCATTTCTTGGAAGAGAACCAAAAGATAATAAGGGCATTTAAAAAAAAGATGAGCCTGAACACAGGGAAGCACTAGAAGGACACCTTTATCTAATTATTTTATGAAATAAAAATTGTTTAAAAAACTAATAGGGTTGTGCATTTGACCGGTCAAATATGGTCAAATGTGGTCAAATTCAAATATATTTTTTTAAAGTTAATATTAACTTTATTTTGAATATAATAGTAAAATGAATTTATAATATTAATTTTTTAAATTCATTCAATAACTAACGTGTAGCTATCTGTATCAGAGTCTTGTTCTGATTCATATTCAATATTATCATTTTCTTTAATATTTTTTAAACAATTTTCCTGATATCTTAGATCTTAAATCGATTTCTATTTTCATAAGAATATTAACCCAAATCGACCTATTTCTTTCTAAAGAAGAAGTAGAACTAGGAATTGTTAGTCTCTTAATGGGCAGGGTAGACAAAGTTTAATCTATTAACTTGAGGTCGGAATTGATTGTTTCTGGAAATTACTACTTTCCACATATTTTGCTATATTAAACATGCTGTTTTTGCTTCTGAAATTAATTATATCACTTAAAATATTTTGGTCATCACTACCTTGTAAAATAGCTAATTCTTGAATTATATCACATACTTCATTAATTACACTACTAGTGAGTTCTCCTCTTGATATTGTGGACCCGAAAAATAAGCAAACATTGTGATCACATGTATTTACATCTTTTTTCCCTTTTTTAAACATATTTTTAATTTATTTTTCCTTTAAATTTTTTAGAGTATTTGACCGTATTTGACAGGTCAAATACTCCTCCGGTCAATTGACTGAATTTGACTGGTCAATTGACCGACTTGCCAACCCTGATTTTTTACGATAAATTATAAAAATATTTATTATTTTACAAAAAAATTTTTTTATACTGCAAATTTATCTAAAATAGTTTAATTAACCTTTAAAAGTTCAATAATTTGTTATATCGAAAATAAAAAATACTAACTACCCCAAATTATAGATAATGTTTTGACTTTGGCTGTGACTTCACATTCTTTAGAACATTACAATATTAGTTTTAGAATATTAAGGTCTTGGCAATACGAAAAGTTACAAACGATTGGTAAGAGTCAATCGAAATAACAAAGATGAATGAAAATGTTAATAGAGACGACGATTTCTAATGACCTTTTTTTTTTATTATTTATAATATAAGTATTTTTGAAAGTTTAAAATTATTTTTAAATTAACGATATTTAGACAAAAGGATTCACTGATTTTAAAACACAGGACGATAATAATATCCAAAAAATTAATTTACATGAAAGTATTTTGAAACAGGGAGTAGTATTAAGAATGTTAAAATCCGAAAAGGCTAATAAAGTATAATTAAATTTTATATTTTTTTTCATATACCTATTTTTGATGTTTTTTTCATATCATAATTAATGCCAGTCAATCGTTTTGGAAAATTTTAAATTTAATCCTTTTTTGACATGATTTGAGAAGTTAGATTAGAGAAAGATTTTTTTATCTTTTAAAAATATAACTCGCTCTACAATCAGAAATTATATATTGCATAAGAAATGACGATAGCTAAAAAATACAAATGTCTTAAAATCAGAACTAAGGTAATTATACAAACTTGCATCAATAAAAAAGTAATTCTATGATACACTATAGATAATCGATAAGATTTTCCAAATAATTAAACGATAATTCGAATAAAATAAATTTTATTAAATCCAGATAATAGAAGTTTTATATGCATATCAGTTTGAAATTAAATTAGATAAAATAAATCGTTTTTTTTAACACATTGAGTTTAACAATCATTATAAATCAAATGGCAAAACATAAGTTTTAAATATAAACTAAACACAGTTGAAAATTATCAACAATGGCAAAATATTTGTTATATAATAAATAATCAGAGTTGGGCAGGTCCTCCAGAAAAAGAATCTAGATACAGATTCTTTATAAAATGAATCTTAGATACAGATACTAGTATCTTTTTCAAAATATCAAAAAGATACAAGATAAAAGATACTTGTATCTTTTACTAAATTAGAGTATCTTAAATACAAGATACTTTTAAATTATCATTACGAATTAAATTAGAATAGTTTATAAAATACAGTTTTTATTATTTATTTGTGAAGAACATAGCATACACTATAAGAATGAATATTTGCTATAATTAATAAAATATTTATTAATGAATTAATTATAATAACCAGGGATTTTAATATTAGTTTTTGCTTATTAATAGCTTAAACAGGGAAGGGAGAGTAGTATATTTAATGGGAGTTGAAAATTTGCAAATAAGAAAAAAAAATTAAATCAAATGATTTATTATGGCATCTCTAAAAAACATACACTAATTTTATTTTATTCATTATCTTTAATAAGTATTTATCATTACTTGTTTGTGATATTTATGTATTTTTTAAATTAGTTTATTTTCTAATATGACTTATTAATTCTAAATATCATTTAAATCTCTTTTCAATTTTTTTTTATATATTTCTTGCAAAATCATTAATTATATATAAAAAATATCATAGTAATGTACAACTTTATATTATAATTATTAAATACAAAATTATTATTAAATAATATATATAAAAATGGATTTCGATTTTATTTATAAAAATTAATGATTTTATATAACTTTTTTAAAAAATTTTATAACATTTTATTTTTGTTAAAGAAGCCATTTTATATCGGATCAAATTTTATAATATTGGCCGATAACCGATATTTTAAAATGAGTGAAATTGATCCGATCCGATAAAAAATATCGGCACATCAATTTTTAGCAAGTTCTTATTAGAGGAAATATTTAAGCTACAATTGATATATAACATTAGATAATTTTAAAAGGCTCTTAATAAAATAATTATAATAAGGTATAATTTAAATTTATTAGTTACTTTTATTTATTTATAATATAAGTAAAATTACATTACAGTATTTATTTACAAAATATTTAAAATGCATTTAAGAAAATTGTTGTTTAATAATTAATTAATAAATATTCTGCCATATTGTAATTTTTTTTGCCCATTCTGTTTATAAAAGTGTGCGAGATTCTCTTCAGAATCTGTTTTTAGTGAAGTTGGTGATATTGACAGTTATCGCCACAAGCTGACCTCTGATAAATTGGAAATATTGGTATTTCTAAAAAGAAATCTTCGATATATTAATGTTAAATATTATTTTAAATATTTATTTCAAATTTCATATTATAATTGTTTATTACTTATTATGTATATTCATTAATGTTATTACTTATTATATAAAGGTGATTTAATAATAAAAATATTTTATATACTTTTAGAATTGCAATTGAATTGAATATAAACTATAACTGATCATTATAAATATATTTAAATGACATAAGTTATGGAGTTAAATTATAGATGTTATATTAATAAAAAGTATATTAAAAATTAAAACCATTGGTATCTTTACAGAATACAAAATTAGATAATCAGCCGATATCAATTTAGTATCGGGAATATCGGATCGACCTCCAAAAAGTGGTATCGATACACCCCTAAAAAATATATATATACAAAATGATTTAATTTGATAATCAACCATCTTCTATAAAAATTTTTAATAACAATTATCGAAGAGGGACTTAAGTATAGGTATTATTTATTTATTTATTTTTTTAAAATGCTCATTTCTTTTATTTTTTAAAATTTATATATATTTAAAATAACATGTAAACTATTTGTAAAATAAAATTATAAAAATTATAAAAACTATATTAAATAAAATAATAATTATAAATTTAATTAGGTATGATCAACGGGGCTTATAGACCCATGTATGGATATGCAGTTAGAACGGCAGATTTCAGTTGATATTATCTGTCGAAAGAAGAAGCCTTCTTTTGGGTCATCTGTGATTAAGCGTAACCTCTGCCCTATTTTGAATAATTTTAGGGCTTGGGGTCCAAATGATCCACAGGTATCTGAGACTACCACATTATTAAGGTTGCTATATTTGTTTGTTTTTGTGTTTTCTGCTTTCGTGATATAGTTGGAAGAAAAAGATCTGGCAAAACGATCCACGCAAGTATAATCCCAGGCGAGAGGTAGACCTTGGTTCCAAGGGACTAGCGTCATACCATCTGGTCTGGTTTGATTGTCGGGGCTGAGGCCGGATGGTTCCAGGGTGGAGGAAATATTTGAGGATTTCAAGGTTCTGTTGATGATTGAATTGATAGCATGGTGTCTGGGTAATCTGCTTTTTGAGAAACGACATTGAAGGGGGTGGTGTCCAAGACTATCGATGTGGGTTTCACATAGTAAGCATGATGTAGGTGTTACTATCCTAAGCGAAGGCCTGTGGCTATTCTAAGTTCTTCGTTGGTTAATAACAAGCCTAGATTAGAACTAGGTACAGTTTCTAACCATTCATATCCTAGATGGCATATGGGTGAAGTTGGAATTATTGGATCTGGCAGAGGGCTCATATTATTGTCATCATGTATAATTGGGTTAGGGTTTAGGTGGAGAAAGAGCGATGGAGATTTTCTTTGAACAGCTTTGGTGTAAGTATTCAAGCAATGCTATATCAATGGAAAGTTCCAGTCTCTTTGCTTTAATGAATCTGGATATGAGCGATTTGGGGCATTTTTGCTCCAGAGCTCTAGTGCTGCCGTTCGATGTGGGTCGATATTCAAGTCTCCCAGTGTGTGTCGAAATTTAGCCACTGAGGATAGAAAAGCTGAAATGCTTAGGGATATGGGGGATTGTATGCCTATACCGCCTAGCTTTGGTGTAAGAGCGGCTTGCATCCAGGAGGATGATGAAAATTTGATATTTAATATGGATTCGACAGTATTTTTTAAGTGGACTTCGAGGTCCAATAATACCTCAGGGGATGTGAAAATTGTAGATGAACGAAAGCCGTGTAAAATTTTTAGAATGAATAAAAAAAATTTCAGTAAATAGAAAGCCTGGTGAGCGGGTAAATATTTTAGAATATTTTTCTTTCTATTAAATTTAGCAAGGAATTCATCTCTAAAATGAAATATAGCTTTTTCCCCTCCAATAGGTGAACCTAAATGGGTAAAGTTGGCTTTATCCACTAAAATAAAATTTTCGGGTGGGCACTCCGATTCAGAAAAGGAATAAAATTCACACTTATGAGGGTTTAGTGAAAGTCCTGTAATAGGAGCTAAGTGATTTATAATTGATGGAATTTTTATGATTTCGTTATAAGGGCCTGCTAGTGTGCCATCGCCCAGGTACCATACATTAAATTTAAGATCACAATTGGAAGATATCTCTTTTATAATTAATTGGATGCTTTGGCAGAATAATGCCGGACCTAAAGGGTCTCCTTGTTGGATGCCCTGTTTAGAGAGAATAATAGAATCATTAAATTTTAAGGTGGGTTGGTTGTAACATGCAGCGATGTTTGTTGTATAAAATGTTCCCTCCTAAGTGAGTTGTAGGCATTATTTAGGTCGATTTTGAGAATGCATTGATCATGTGTATTATGGAGGATGACACGGTGGGAAGCAGCCTCACATCCTCCAGGAATATTAAAACCAAGCGGTTTGATTGTAGTAGATTGGATAGGTTAGATTTTATACGGGAGAAAATTATTTTGGAAATGATTTGCCGGAAGAATGACCCTATTGCAATAGACCTGATGTCCCCATTGGTTTTATTTAAGGATATTAAGCGGGCTCCAAAAATGATGGGCTGAATGAGATTAGGTATATTATTATGAAAGATATGATTAAGCAATATGGTGAATTGTGTGAGTATGTTTTGATATAGGGGTATAGTTGGTTTAATTATATATTGGAGATAAATGGCTCGAAAGCCATCGATGCCTCCTGAAGAATCTTTTTTGAATGTCTTTATTGCTTCCAATATTTCCATCTCGGTTAGTGGAATAGGATTATCAGATAGTGGAAGGATGATTTGTGAAAAATCTTGAGGATGTTTAGATTGCATGGCCATGAGAGTTATATCATTATTGGGGGCCATAGTATCACTTGAACGGCTATGTTGATAGCTGAATTTACATTGCATAGGTTTATTTTATTTTCAATAAGCTTGGCCTTTTTTTTATCTGTCAAAAGCTTATTGAAAGAATGTGGAGGTTGTTTGCTATTATCATTTGAATTTAATGTTTTTTTGATGCTTTGTGTTAAGTTTGATTTTGATGTTGGAAGATGTAGATTTAAATATATAAATGATAATATAATCCAATTATCTAAGCTTTTAATATTTTTATTTAGAGTGGTTAAAATAGCTAAAATAATTGTGAAAATATCATTCTGGCACCTTTTGTTATACGAGCTATTGTGGGGTGGGAGACTTTCTTTCATTTTTCTAGCCATTCTT